GAACACTCCCTTCCTGGGGTGGATGGCATCCAAGGACTGACTGATCGTGGGGCGGCTATTAAGGCCCAGCATGTTCAGCCCACCAGCTCTGAAGAGCCCTTTATGCCCCAGGGCACCCAGGTGGGGATGGCCTGGTGTGGCTTGTTGGGTCTGCATCACAGTATGATTTCTCCCTTCCCCAGCTTCCACAGTATTGATTCCTAATCAATATTCTGCTTGCTAAACTCCATCTCAGCATCTTCTTCTGCGGAAGACAGGTTTCAAAGATTCAGTTCTCTCCGTTATGCTCTCTGTCTCTATAGTCTCCTCTTAAAACACTCACTCACTGCAAGTCTTATATCCTTATCTAAGCTCCTCACATTTCTTTTTTTTAAATATATTTTTACTGATTTCAGAGAGAAAGGGAGACAGAGATAGAAACATCAATGATGAGAGAGAATCATTCATTAGCCGCCTCCTGCATGCCCCACACTGGGGATCGAGCCCACAACCTGGGCATGTACCCTTGAGGAATCGAACCTGGAGCACCTTAGTCCACAGGCGGATGCTCTATCCACTGAGCCAAAGAAGCTAAGGCTCACATTTCTTTCTGTCCATTATTTTTATTGTGTATTCTAGCATCAATTCTAATGCTATATCTATTATGTTAACTCCTTCCCCATACTCCACCTACAGTATTTTAAGCTCATAATCTTGTTACCTTTCATCTCTACCACTCAAGTAGGCCTTCTGATAACTGACCCTTTCTTTGCCATAGTCACCCAGACCCCTACACTTGCTTATCTGGGAGGACCCTGTCTGTTTTGCTCACTGCAGCCATCTGGTTCTCTAGCACAGTGTCCTAAACAGAGTAGGACCTGGACAATTATTTTTCTCATGAATAGTGATTGCAATCAGAGGACTTTTACTTTGGAAGTCCCATCTTCCCAAATTGTCTGTGTACTGCAATCAGAATCCACACGGCTAAACATCACTCTTGTTTGGTTGAACTTCCTCTTCTAATACTTTCAGGATATTTGTAGTTCTCTAAGGATACAAGGCAGACTCTTTGGACTGGTTCTTTAAAGCTCTGCAATATTTGAAAAGATTCTCCTCAGCTGATGGCTCATTTGTTCCCAAAGGTAAATCGTCTGCTCTTAGCAACCTCCTCTTGCCCCACACAGAAGGGGGTGACTTAATCGTGACTCAGCCTTTCCTCACACCATCCCATCATGTCGAATATGAATGTCCCCTACCAGCTGAAATTCTCCCTCCTTCTGACAGCCAGCCATCTGTCCCTCATCTGCACTCCTGCAAATGCACCTCTCATTTCTGTATTGCACATATATCAGTAAACATGTTTTAAGCATCTACCATGTTCCAGGCACTAAGCTGGAGGACAATAGAGAGAGTAACAAGACACATTTTCTGTTCTCAGGGAGTCCTGCGGAGGAAGTAGACACATACATTAAGTGTATGCAGTGAGACCTAGAGAGGCTCTAATAAATGTCTTCAGATTGGGCATAAAAGAGCAGGTAATCAATTCTCAGGAGAATTAGAAGGGAACCTAAAAGGACATTTGAGTTTTCTCTTGAAAGATAAATAGCTGATCATTAGAATTGTGCTGTCAGAATGGAGTTGTGTGGTGTGTACTCTGGGCAAAGGGGACATGCTGAACAGAAGCAGAGAAAAATGGAGCAGCAGGCAAAGTCTAAACAGTCTTTTCTGTGGGTAAGGAAGGCCATGGGAGGCAGTGAGAGTTTGATAAGCAAAACTAGGCTACAGAGGTTTGCTGTACCCAGAGCTGGTGGGGCATTCCAAAGAGTTTGAATTTTATGTTATTGGCAATAAGGAAGGAACACTACAGAAGAGTTTGTAAGTAAGTGATCTGATCAACATGATCAAATTTGAGTTTTGGGATAATCACACAATCACACATTACTATTTAACTGTCAAAAATATAGATCCAGTGTCCAGATGTAAGATGTAAGTTATTTGAGGACAGTGACTTGCATATAATAGATTGGGAAATATGCATTTTCTTTTTTCTTCATTCTACTGCTAATAAAAGTACTAGTAAGTTTGGTTACCTTCAATCAGTATTGCTAAACAGATAAGGCATATGTATGTCTCTATCTGTACACATGTATTCTAAATGCCAAATCACACAGATCCTGCTTTAAGCAAGGCAAAACACAAATACTACTGAACAGGTGAATTACAGAATGCAACTTAAAAGGGGTTGGAGTTGTCTTTGTAAAAATATCAACCTCTATTTAATTTGAATAGGGGGCTCCCTCTCTGGCCCCTGTATTTATGTATACATCATTTCTTGATGAAGGAGTTGAATAGTTGAGGAAGAAAAATGTTATTAAGCACCTCCACTTAGAGATCAAACATCATAAAGTTAACACATCTTCGAGATGATAATATAATGAGCCATTTCACAGGAACTGGATTCACTCACAACTTTTCAAGAATGTCTCTGTCACACAGAGGGAGGGAGGTTTTTCTTGAGTGTGTGTGTGTGTGACAGCTCGGAATGTAAGAACAAAGGGCTTACACAAAATGCAACAGTAGATACAACTTAGAAACCAGTTTTACTCTGCTGCAAACAAATGGACAAGATATTATACAATATATAATAAAAAGTACAGCATAGTACAAGTGCCACTAATAAAAGAAACTTAAGGATAAGACTTAAAAATGCTTGTTTGTGATATATGTATATGTATATATATACACACATTGCCATAAAAAGCCACAATAAATACACAAATTTCCATGTCATTCATAATAAATACTGAAAATATAAATACAGAAGATTATAGCTAATATGAATAAATTATTACAACATAAGGTCCAGGTTAAGTTCTATTGAATAATATTGTAGCTTATTTTATATACCCTTTGGCATCTTTGATGTTATAACTTATACACAAGAGAAATCAGTCTAGAAACTGTGACATATAACATGACATCTTAGAGTATAGTGATTGTGTGTGTGAACTGTAAGTTTGACTTTTCCCCCTTCTGACCTTTCCATTTGATTAGACTACTATTTAAATTGAGTAAAAATAATAACAGAAATCAACAAAAAGATAAAACCAGTCAAATGTTAAAAAATTGTTACAGTTTACCTCACTGAGTTTTTAAATTACTCCCCCTCCCCTGAAGTGAAAACAAACAAAAGCAAAACAAAATACTCTCAAAAGACTTCCCTTGTGTAAAGCCCATTCCCAATGTCCCACAGTTTAACATAGACTGAAGGATAACGCCCGGGTGCTCTAGAGCATTCGATCCACCATCTCATTCAGCTCACTAGGTTTCACTAGAATCTGCAAATGTACCAAATTTCTATGGCAGCTGGAAAGTGAAGACACAGTTGATGTCTAAGACTATGATCAAGGTCAAGATACTGCAAAAGGTGACATCTGTCTATGCAATAGATTATACAAATATATTTCACATGGGGAAAATGCATTTTTGATCAATGTCAAATGATCTTTTCCTATCAAATCGATATACCCTGTGACACTGAGGGAAACACACTGAAATAACAAGGTGCCATTTCCTGCATTAACAGGCATTAACCAGCACATATGTATTAATAGTTCTACCTCAAGAGGCTATTATTACACCAGAAATGCAATAAACGAAATGAAAGCAGATCAACTTTACTAAGACACAATAAAGGCTGAGGTTCTCAGGAACAGAGTCATCATCTACAGGTTTTTAATTTTTAAAAACTATTTCTGCACTGTAAATGTCTAGCGTTTATTTTACAGCAAACACTTTTGAAACATGTTTCACAAACTACGCCTCAGACTTATTTCCATAGAGGTGCCTAAAGTCGATTAAAACGTGGGCCAAATCATTCAACCTTCTTTACATAAGATTCTATAGCTTTATTTATTTATTTATTTATTTATTTATTTATTTATTTATTCATTTATTAATTAAGTAAAAGGGTTATTTCCCCTGGTGGTGGTGGTGGGGAACAACCACACTGATGTGGCTGGCGTTTCACAAGAGCATCCTAGTCAGGGAGATTTTAAAAATCCCATGGAGAAAGGAGACTTTTTGGGGGTGCTCCTCATCATAGGCTAGTTCTGACTCCTAGTTGGAAGCAACTAAGCAAACAGAAAAACAAAAACAACGTTCTGAAAGCTGGCTGCAGGGGGTGATTGGGTCAAGCAATGCAATCAGAAAAAAGTCACCATCCTACAGGACTCCTCCCTTGGCTTTCAGGCTTTGTCAGGATGATAAATTTTTAAATCATTTTGCCGATCCCTGGGAAGGCGAGCATCTATTGTTTATATAACATGGGAAGAAAGGCTGGGATCAAATGGAGGGTGAGCAATTCTTTGGAGTAATTTTATTCCACATCAGACTCTCCCCAGCTAGTCCCAACTTCCCCAGAAGAAGTCATGAGATTCTCACTTGTCATTTTAGGGTAAAGAGAGTTTAATGAGAAGGTATTTATTTAGAGGCAAGAAGGTAAAAAAAATGCTCATTTTTTGTAATTGTAACTTCTCAGAAACAGTCACTTTTCCTGAAATTGTCTCCTGACATCTCAGTGATGAAAAACAAAAAACAAAACACACACACACACAAAACTAACTAAAGTCATTATTTTCCAGAGCAGGTCATAATTTTTGACCTGACATAATTGTTTCAATACCCACATCTTTATTTTAAAAAATCTAGTTTCTTAGGAGACTTGTGGAATCATCAAATATAATTATCAAAGGATGGAGAAATCCAACTTTCTTTAAGTGTCCCAGTACAATGGCCAAAATCACCACAACTGTTGCCAAGTGCCTAGCTCACAACGACTGGCCAAGGTATTTTCTTATTGTGAGAAAAACCTAAGAGATCTGGATTGTGTTGCCAAGGAAACGCCTTCCCTGGAGATGTGAAGAATAGATGGGTATCTCTCCTGTTGTGCATGCCTGAGTGACAGTCCTCCCTGGAAGTAGATGGATGAGCCAGATGACCCCTGGAGATCTCTTCTGGTCTTAGGACTATAAAATTTAAAGAATACAGAAGAACCTCAAACTTTCCATTGTTCACACACAGTTGGCCATTGTGAGTATCTTTGAAAAGATTAAACTATTTTGAGATACCCCTTCAGCATGACTAGCACTGATGAATCAAGATTCAGACAGTAAACTTTGACAGTGGACCCTATTTGATTATGGTACAAAGGAAATGACTTTGCCAACTGCCAACATTTAAAGTCTGTCAAGTTCAGATATCATTTTGGTATTATTAAATCACCCAAGGATCAACACTAAGTAAGCAAAAAACAAACAAAACAAACAAACAAAACCAAAAACAAACAAACAAAAAAACTAACCTCAGGCAAAAATAGATATTTAAGTTTTCCTGTATAGGAAAATTCAGATTTGGGTGGATTTTTGTTTCTTTGTTTAATTTTTTTACTTCTTTCTTGTCTTTCATATTTAAGTAAAATTTCAAAGTAATATATAGATCTTGGAATTTGTTTTAAAGATGGTTGGCTTTATTTATGGCTAAGGAGACTAGCTTAGTTGCCAACATAAAAGGAGCCAAACAAAATTGGATAAATCATGCTATAAAGTTAGAAATTTTATTCTCTTTTAAAATAAGGAAGCTAGACCTCTGAGAAGGGGGTTTCTGATTTTACCTAGAGTGGCACTAAGTCTTGATGAAAATCTCTGGTGATAGAAACTCCTAAATAATTTTTAAAGAGATATTTTCCAATCCAATTTTCTTTCAAATATTCATTAAACTTTAAAGATACTCCCAACCCAGGTAAAAAATATTGGAAGAAAGCCAAAAGAGAAAAAGAGAGGGGTACCTAACAAAAAAAGCCGTTCTAAAATTACAACTGAAACCATTCTATGAGGTCACATAAATTAACTTAAACAAAGGCAAGGCTAATTTCTACTATAAATTTGTCTTCTCCTGAATCCTTCTGATCAATATACATTATCTTAAAAATATTTAACTGGCCTCACACATCACAAAAATGAGTTATTGAACTGACATGACTATCACCGTGGTAATGAGTAACACAAGGAAAGGAATGGCATCATTAGCATGTTGAATACAAATATTGTCCAAAATATAACTTATATTCCTTTGAAAACTTTAGTTCTGCCAGAAACTTATGAGATGTAATAAAATGACACACTAGAGCTGGCTTTTCTTGAATTATAAATGTCAAGTATCAAATTAAAAAAAAATTACCCTGTAGAGTGATATATTTATCACAAGTGAAAGTAGTCAACAACGTGATTTAAGTCCTTGAAATTATCTCATTTTCTATGAATATAACAAGCACCTGTATTTACTGAAATTCCAAGCCACCTGTTAATTAGATTACAAAAACTGCACGCAGAAAATGAACTCGTTTAGGCTTTGAATCTGTATAATCCTGCTTCCCATCCTTCTGTCTGAGTCACCACTGTCAGGATACAAAGCTCAAGACATGACAGTTACTATCCAGACAGTACAGTTAGACTAATCCCAGGACTGCTCACCAGTAACACCCAGCTCATCTCAAGCTTTTGAGTTTGAATTTCTGACAAGAAAAACAAAAGACCTGTATTGGTTAGGAAGGGGGAATCTCATGGTCTCGGTTGAAAGATAGGAAAAGAGTTGAAGTAAAATTTAGAAAAGTGACTGTTTTAAAGAGTCACACTGAATATGCAGATTGGCAAGTAAAATATTAAAGAGCTCCTTTATTTCCATATTTACCATTTATTTCCATACTACTTCTGACAAATAGTCTGTCATTTGAATATAAAATGTGTTTAAATCTTAAAAATGCTTTCTTTAGCATGTTCCAGCTGTTTTTATTTTTAAAGCATCAGATGATTTTTGGATAGGAAGATGGAATTGGTACGAACGGTGGGCAGCAGACTGAGCACCAGCAGGGCTGTTGAATGCCCACACTGTGACTGCCCTTCTAGAATCTGGGCTGCCATTTGTGAATCTACTTTTTTCTATTATAGTAACATTTAATTTTTCATCTCTGCTGAAACTTATGGTTTCAAGGACACACCATCATTTATTAAGTTTATAGTCCATCCTCACCCCACCCAGACACTTCCATAATTCTAGCGAGGTTTCAAAATGCAGATTATTCAGTTAAATTTAATCAATTAAATTATTCAATGCTACATAACACATCTGATGAGCTGTGCTATTTGTGCAAAGCTGGAGCATTTGGCTTAGGCTTTTAACTTTCCCTTGAACATGTTAGTGGATCTCAGAAAGAATAATGTAATCAGAAGTCATAATTTGTGTTAGAACCAGGAGTAGTGATTAAGGCTTTAAACTTTTGGCGCTGGTTGTGGTCAGGATCTATGGAGAGTTCCAGTTTCAAATGACAGTACAATCTTGCCTTTGAAAGCACACCAGTACTCCCCGTTTGAGTTTGGTATTTTATATACTGACTACAATAATGAGTCTCTAAACTCTCTGTGAGAGAGAAGGAGCAGATGCCATTTGAAAGAGGAAGATTAAGTCATATTTGGAGAAATGGAAGGCTTTGTGGCACCTTCTAAATAGGCGGTCTCCTATTGACTTCTGACGATGTCAATTTTCCACCTGCTGATTTGATGGTTTGTAACCCCAGCGAAGGTGAGAGGGCAGAATGACCTTTCTGTTTTCTAGGGGCTGCAAGGCAATGCCTTTGAAACTTGGAACTAGGGCTTTGCTATTTTGATAGGCTGTTTATAAACAGAAGTGTGATTGCGTTCCCTATTGCTGTTTCAAAGGTTTCCTGAAATGCTTCCTGCCTTATGCATGAGTCAACCCGCCTTTGAAATTGTCTAGTAGGAGCTTGCTGGTTTAAATTTAGCATCACTTATATGGGTCTCACACTGAAAAAGCAATTAGCTGAAAAATCTCTTTTTCATTCGATTCAGTTATTCTCACTGGGTCCAGATTTAATTCATAAATGTCAGATAAGAGGAAAGGAGGAGGATACAGGAAGTCTCATTAATTTAGAAAATAAGAAGTTTCCTTTTAGCTGCAGTTTGCATATAACTAGACAAGAATTGATGTCCCACTGTCTATCACTTTATAAAATCACAAATTAAAAAGATTATAAGGATTGATTATTTCATGCTACTCTTTATCATCATAACCTTTAGAAATTGTAGCGGTTTCCCCTCTGTTTTTTTACCATCTCTAACACAGTAGATGTTCAATAAATATTTGTTGAAAGAAAGAATTGTTACTTAATAAATTCTAAATATCACGACCAAAGGGTTATATAAACCTGTACAACAATATCAGAACTTTAATTAAAGAACCAGTGATACATTATGCTCTTTATCATCATAACCTTTAGAAATTGTAGCGGTTTCCCCTCTGTTTTTTTACCATCTCTAACACAGTAGATGTTCAATAAATATTTGTTGAAAGAAAGAATTGTTACTTAATAAATTCTAAATATCACGACCAAAGGGTTATATAAACCTGTACAACAATATCAGAACTTTAATTAAAGAACCAGTGATACATCATATGTTCTTCTGCTTAATGGTAACCAAACCAGATTTTTGCCCGGAAGTCAGCTGAGTGTAAAAATTTAAAGAACATAATCGCTTATAATCTCTTTGCTTCTGGATTAATTTGTGGCCTGTGTGTCTGTAACTCATAGTTGTATATGTGTGTGTGTATGTGTGGGGGAGGGGGGATGTGGCTATTGCTGAGTTATATATGGTTGTGAAGATTTTATCACTTTAATAAGTATTAATTTCACATTTTATATGTGGCTCGCACAATAGGAAAAATATAGTTTTATCACAAAGAAAAGATTGCCTTTCAAAAAGTAACTATATTATTCAATTAACCAAAAGACATGAGACAAGCAGATTTTACTTATGTCTTAATAATCAATGTTCAAGAGATGGGGGAGACCTTAAATGAATCTCTTTCACTGACTTCTTTCTCTCATAAAAAAAAACCTAGAATGTCAAAGAAAATGAAAGCTGCTCCAAGTCACTTGACTTGCAAATCAGTTTGGCCTGGATTCTAACTGGGAATTAAGCTCCAATAAAAGGTAGAGGGCTGGTGCTAAAACAACAGGGACCAAAGCAGTAGGCTTTGTCCTTGACAGTGAATGACTAAAGAGCTGTGTGTCAAAAAAAGGCTGTAATTTGGTTAGATAATGCTATGGGAGCAATGAAAGAGCTGCTGGTCTGGTTAACGTGGCTTGGTATAATGATCTTAAGTATCCCCACTGTCTGTGTCTAGCTTGATCCCCATTTTAAAAAGCTTTCCTGGTATGTGGGCAGTATTTGTTGAATAGAAGGGCTATTAATGGGGAAAAAAGTCAGATAGAACACTGTGCTCTCTCAGCTTTTCTGGGAAAGGAAGTAACAATGAAATGATTCCGTCAATAACATTATTTGCAACTTTGAGTCAATCTTTTCAAACTATAGCTTTAAAAATTATACTTTTTCCAAATCACATTTTTAGATCATAAAACCCAACCAGATTCTAGGGTAGGGAAAATTCAGTACTCATTGGCCATTGCCTAAAATCTACTGTTCTCCAGTGTGTGTGTGTGTGTGTGTGTGTGTGTGAGAGAGAGAGAGAGAGAGAGAGAGATGGGGGTGTTTTAATAGGTAATCTGTGTAGGCAGCTTGTGGGAGATGTTGAGGGGTTAGGTTATGTACATAAAAACTTGGAATGGTTGGAAGGTTAATCCTTCTGTGTAGCAGTGACTTTTATCCCCAATTGGACAGATAGGGAAATAAGCTCTGGGGTGTTTGTTTGTCTGTTTGCTTGTTCCTAGGTTAAGCATCCTTTTGGAAACGAAGCTACAAAACAGAGACCAATGAAACATAACCAAGTAGGCATCAGCCTTCTTGGGAAAAATGAAGCTGAACGGAATTGAATATCTATCCTTTCAGGAAGTGGACTGACATTCTATACCCTTCAACTCTGCCCCAGCCAGAGTCGCCTCTCCCCCACTCTGCTGTACTCTGTGTTCCAAGAATAAGCTGAGTGCTTCCCACGTAAATACTGCAAGGACTTGCAACTGGTCCAGCAAATATGGCACATATGATTCTTTTACGTGCTTGAATAAGGAACAATAACCTTTCGTCAGTATCTCTTTGGGTCTGTGCTCTTTGCATTGTATTGGTAGGGGGGAAATTTGAAGATCAAACACTAAAAACTGTAACTTTGTAGACATACCCTATATGGTACTGATCAAGCAAAACCTCAATCAGATTACCAAGGGACTTATCACTCAAAAGGAATATCCCTGCCTTCCTTACTTTACCTCCATAAAGGATAAACCCAAAGATCCTTTAACGTTAATATTAATGGTTATAAATTTGGCCCATTGGTGGGTAGAGAAGGGGCAGGAACCAACCGCACAGCGGAGAGCTGCAAGTAAACACATTTTCCCCAAGTCAAGTTTTAGTAGAAACTTTTCCATTGGAGGACTTTAGATCAAACATTTCCAAGTTCAATGAAGTAAGATGGTATTTTTTAAGGAACTGAGATCTACGATCTATTTATGTCCATATTTCTAAACATCCACGTCTAAAAGACAGAAAAAATAAGTAGCAATGCAGTCACTGAATAGCAAGGCATGTCCACATTTCAAAGAGGCAGAAACTGTGAAATGATATAACAATAGGTCCAAAATATGAAACAGATTTAGCATAGTCATAGTGTATTGAAAAAAAGAAGGGAAAACACGCTATTGAGTTACCTAAATTAATTTACAGGATAACAGGATCTTAGAAGTCCTCTGACGAGCCATGTATAGATAATCTAAAGCTGGAGAGTGCTTGTTTTATTTCTAACTGTCCCCTTTAATAAGAGAACGTGAGGTAATTAGAAAGTATTCAATGCTTTCTGGACTGTTCTGTTAAATGTCCCAAGCAAGATAAATCAAAATGCTGCAGAAAAGTAAGGCCTAGTTGAGTATTTGGGTAGAGGCCCCCCCCTTCAATCAGCTAGTCACTAAATGGAAATCTCATTATACACTCATTCTGTAGAGATGGATTGATCTCGCTGTAGAAAAGGCTGGTTGCTGAGGATATGTCTCTTCCATGTTCCTCAGCCTCTTCTGCGTTTACAGAGTTAGGTCTTCAGAGCGGCGAAGGAAAACAGGTCATTTTTCCTTCACAGAGTACCATTGGATGATTCCTCTATATTAAGTATATGAACCTTATCAGAGTTACAGATTTAAAAAAAATTGTTTTAAAATTTGTCATCTTAAAGAGTTCTCAGTCCCCACCCCTCACAAGTTACAATGAAGGGGCACTAAAGTGCATTTTGATGTAGGGGAGTAGAGTTTAAAAGTGCTGTCCAAGGTAAGAACCAAGATGATGCTGTTTAAAAAAGAAAGGCAATTCCTTCTACCTCCATCTCTAGAGTCAATTGAGGGAGGGCAATGAACTAGACCCTCCCCAAAGGATTGTCCTAACTCTTAACTTGAGAGAAAACTGTGTAAGGACCTGTACATATAGACTCATTTATTTGTCCAAAATAGCAAAAATAGGCCTATTTCACCCTTAAGAAAGTATTTGCAAATTTGATCAGTTATGATCATAAAAACGTGAATGGATTCCAGATGCAATCCATGTGGGCATGCTCGGTGGTACTAACTATGCATCTTCAGCTTAAAAGAACATGCGGCTGCTCATTTTCATCAAAACATGACTTCGAACTACCATAAATGAAATACACATGGGACAATTAAATCTTTTTCTTACAATAATTATGTTTACATTAAAAAGTCACCATCATCTTCAGATAATATCGAAAAGTAGGACTCTAAATCTTATTCTCTCCCAGTCTTAGTTAACAATTTTGCACAGGCCCGATAATCCAAAACTTGGAGCTCTGGTCTACACAACTTGGCAGGTTTCACACAGTTTGACAGGTAGGCAATTGTGAACTATGCTTTTTTAAAATTAGCATTTTCTATCAAAACAGTCTGAAATCGTTTAAAATCCTCACAGAGACTGTATTTGTGCAATGCCACAGACACACAGCTAGAAAGGGGAAAACAAAGTACAGTCTGGAAGATTCATCACAGTCCAAGTTTTCTTGGTCCTCAGTTTAAACAACCACGAGCCCAGGAAATCCAATTAAATACAGTGCTTTAAATAGAAGACTTGGTCCTAGAATAACTTAGGCGACTAGACAGGGACGGTCTCCACCACGGGTGATTTGATGCACTCCTCGTGCAGTCTGCTCTTTTCTGCAAGGCTCAAAGGATTTTCAGCAGAATGCTCTGAAATGTGGCTGCCATTCAATGTAGAGACAAACCCCTCCTGGGAGGGGCCTTTCAAGTATGAGTGAAATTCCATTTGAGGGTGATTGGACCTGTGATCGGGATATAAGCTATTGCAGGCCACACCGCTGTCATTTTCCGAGGACGAGCAGCAAACGATGACAGAGGGGTTGGCAGCTGGGTAGTGGGAGGTGCCGTAGGCCTCTTCTGCATGTCGGGCGTAGTCAACGAACTGCTCTGGGGTCATGGTGTAAGGCACCAGCGAGAGGGTACCATTTTTGACAGTATCTCTTTCAGCATAGTTCTCAGAGATCTGGTTAGGAGTTCCTGGAATGTGGCTATCTATTTGGTAATACAGAGTTGAAGAGTTGGCATAGAAAGAAGCATTTTTCGCGTGGCTTTCGTGCACGGCGGTGCCATCAGAATAACACAGGACGGAAGGGAGAGGGACAACTTCAGCATGGGTACCCAAACCTTCCATGAAACTGTCTCCTTTCTCCTCCTCCTCCTCTTCCTCCTCCTCCTCTTCCTCTTCCTCCTCCTCATCTGACTCACTGGGTGCCAAGCTCTGTGTGCTGGAATCGGTGACACCGCTGCAGAAGCTGCTCCCATCCTCCTCTTCCTCCTCCTCTTCCTCCTCCTCTCCTTGGCAATCTAATTCCTCAGCAGACTGCAAGTGCAGTACTGCAGCCTGGGGGTCAGTTTCAATCTCAAAATTGTCTGTGATAGAATATTCTACGGAGTGAGCGACAGGGCCCATGGAACTACTGTGAGCACTTATCTCACCATGGCAGCCGTTCAGCGTGGGGATCTGCTGCTCTCGGTTTTTCTCCAGTTCAAGTTTCATGATTGTGTGCAAAAAGTGAGTCCGGACACGGATAGGATTAAATTCAATTCTACCTGCTGTGTTACTACATCCTTCTTTAGTGCAGCCACACGGGAAAGACATTCGATCCACCTTGGAAGGAAGGACACAGATTAGCCCCATGGAACTCTTACAAACCAAATACAAGTCCAGTACCTTCCAGCAACCCCTCGGAATCTGGGATTACTTAATTCCACTTTGGCTAGACCAAATGACAATCAAATTGCAAACAGAAATGAAAAGGGAAATGGAGGCTTAAAACGTAAGAGTCAACCCAGTTTTAAAACCTACATTTAAAATAAAAGTGAGTTACAGTATTATACTAAAAATATACTGCATATTTTGAGTTTGCTGACCCCTCCTGTGCTTTCTCCACTTCTTCCTCCATTCTTCCTTTTTTCCTTCTCTTCATCCCATTCACTTTGCCCCCTTTCTAAAAATGTTTCTGTCCTTTCCCCAAGATCCCTTTCCTTGCATGCCAGCTCATGCGTCCAATTTTAAACAAACTTGCCACCCTCATCTCCACCTGCTATTTTTTAATCTAGATTTTATGACATTCCCCATATTAGTCATCTATTTTTTTCTTGGCTTATTATAAGATGAACTTCTCTGTCCAAGGTGTCCAGATTGACACCACTCAGAATATTGTGTAGCCTGATCATTTGTTCCCATTGGTTTGCCTCTGTGCTCGGTGCATGTATGCTGACTGCAGGGCTGCGATGGATATGCACGTTCATGACTTTGACTGGTGGACCCCTGTGCTTAGGTCCTGGCTCCCTCCTTCCCCACTCCACTCCAGTAGACTACAAGTTCCTCAAGTAAAGGGGATGCTCATTTCACCAATATCTTAAAATCATTCAAGTGATTGGATCCTGTGGATAGAGTAGTGGGTTTCGGCAAGTGTTGTTGGACTGAATGCTTAAATAAGTGATATGTGGAATTCTGGGCAATCCAAGGGTACTCCGAAGATATTTGCTAATTGTCCCAGATTCCTCCAATTAGCCTATATGCAGACCAGAGCACAGGCCACCAGAAAGTACTTGCCCTGTTAGCACCTTATCCAAATGTGGGGAATTTCCTATGCAATAGAGGAGAAGGCAGACTCTCATGCAGTCATCTGGGCCCAATAAAAATTAGTAGCAGATGTCAGAACCAGAATCGACAGCTGTTTTCTTACTCATTAATCCCTTTTCTGTGAATCTACCTCAAACAACTATTCAGCTGATGAGAACTATTCTCTCCTTCTGCCTGTCTGAGGAGCTCTCCTTATTAAAAAAGCCAAGTTTCTGCCTAAAATAATGACACCTAACTAATCATGGAGCACCCGTGCTGTTATAGATGAATGGGGACCTGAGAATCATCTAATCCAGGAGTTGGCAAACTTTTTTTGGTAAAGGGTCAGAGAGGAAATACTTTAGGCTTTGTGGGTCATAGGTCTCTGTGGCAACGAGTTGGCTCTGCTGTGGAAGGGTGAAAGCTGTCACAGACAACACACACGCTGTGTGTCCACAAAACTTTATTTACAAAAAAAACAGGTAGGCGACAGTCCAGATTGGGCCTGTGAGTTATAGAGTTTGCCAACACCTGATCAAGTTCAGCCCTTTCACTTTAGAGGTGGGGAGACTGAGCCCAGAAAGTTGACCTGACCTGCCAATTTCACGTAGCTGGCAACAAGCGGAGCCAGGAGTAGGACTCAGTTTTCTCCGTGTCAGTCTAGTGATTTTTCCACTCGTCTATACCACCTCTCCCCAGGCATCATTTTAAACCCCTGGATGGATCCGAAAATAGAAACTTAAATATTAGGGAAGTGATGATCTGCCTGAATGCTTGTAAAAAGCCAAAGTAAACTAGTCTAATCAACGGATCCAAGAGCAAATAATGTCAGTTAACTCAGCTACAGCGTGGGTTGCCTTTCATAAAGGCAATAAAGATGTGCAGCATTGCGCTACTGGGATTATATCTGAGATGTATGAGCATGTTATGTGTGCCCATACATGTCCTTGAATGAGGATTTCTTTTTTTCTTGAATCAGGTGGGAAACTTCATTACATGGAACACGACTGCCTCTTTAGGGGGTGGTGTGCTACCCCCTGTCTTTGGATTCCCCGAGATGCAAATCCTTACCTGACACTTAATGCCTGCCAGGCTACAGGTACACGTTTCTGGGTCACAGAACACACGGCAGTCACAGCCACAGTCCTCTCGCGACAGGCGGATGGCTCGCAGCTCGTGCTTTTCTTCCACATCGATCTTTTTCACTCCGGACGCCCGCAGCAGTGCTCTTCGTTTTTTTGTTGGCAGGGGTTGTAGGAAGAAGTATTCGTCTACCTCTGTGTTGTCTAAATCAATATCATCATCAGAAATGTCATCCACGGTCAGAGTGCTAGCTTCTTCAGACTCCACGGTGCCGTTCTTCGTCATCTAGAAACACGAGGCAGCAAATAAGAGACCGCGAGGGCAGAGGCTGCACTCCTAACTTCTACAGTTCAGAACAATGAAACTATTCCATTCCATCAGGTCCCCATAATCAGTAAGTGTTTGTGGGTCCAATCACTTCCATTTATTTTCCTCTTTAGAGAAGTCACAGGGAGGAAAATGAAAGCATCAAAATGACAGGCTTTTAAATGCACAGAGGACTGTTAATTGGGTCTCTTAACCTCCTAATGTGAGAGCTAGAGTTGTTAGAGCTTTTAGCCAGGGCAATGTGAAAAGGACCAAAGGTTACAGATGCCCATCAATGAAAGCTATCTTTAGACTTGGTTCCTGATGGGCGGCTCTGGTGTTGGAATAAATTCACCCTTGTTCAGAGATGGTAACACCTTCGTGGGAGCCATTGCCACCTAAGTCAGCAAACACGCTGTCCTTGAAATGACCACCCTGTCTTTGGGAGTCCAGCAACAACAAGAACTAGGAAATAAACATGTGCAGCATTGAGCTACTGGGATTAGGAACGTGGTTACCCTACAGAGCATTCCAAGAATGAGCCCTTGATATGAAGCAATCAGTCGGGTCAGTGTGACCGCAATAAGACACGGAGCAGAGGGCTGTGCTGGCAGGAGCTGGCCAGTGGGCACTGAGACAATAACCTCGCCCTCAAAGGAGGTCCCACGAACCTGTGCCCAAAGCAAGCACTTCCTCATTACAGCTCCTGTGGACAACTGTCTCCTCTCCCCATAACTGTTCTGCTGCTATTTATGTTTCTTCTCTAATTAATTCCATCCATCAGTAAACCCTGTATCAGTATTTCACTTCTGACTGTTCTACCACCACATATTGTTTCCTTCTTTAAAAAGCATTTAAAAAGAGACGTTTTCTCTGATTATGAGCAAAAATGTATTCTGAGGGGTAGTACAGGAATACATGCCAAAGCTCTGTAAGGGATTATTCAAAAAAAGTTTTAAATACGAAAGCTTTTTTGATCCTTTAACTTTAAAATTTATTCATAAATGTCACTAATTGTAATCATTACCATGCTATTTGATCTTAACAATGGCTCAATCATGACACAGTTAAAATGCTCTGGTGACATCAAACATCAATCTCTCAACTTCATAGAAAAGGTCCGACATTTAGATTAGAATATTAATTATTGACCCCAAATCCTAAACTGGATTACTCTGAATGTACTGAAAAATGAATAGAAGACGGTCTTTGCCCTCAAGTAGAGGAAACAATACAGTAGCAAGTGTATATTAAAATGTATTTCAAAGGGTCCCTGAAATGAATTTAAAAAATTACTACATTGTACTTTTTGAATATTTTAGAACTTAAATCTATTTTATTACAAAGGTGTGCATTCCCCTTCATTGGGTTTTGTTTCTTGGCATGATCTGCAATTATTTCCTTCCTTGGCATTTCTTTATAAAGGTATTGGTTCAGCCGTTTTCATGTTTCTGGATGTCCACTATTAGGATGTTATTTTGAGTGGTTTCTGTTACCATTTGTGTTAATTCTTATTTGCAAACAGAAGCATCTTTCTATCTGTAAAGATCTGATTTGCTAAGGAATTCAAGTGTGTAATTGCCTAACATCTACTCAATTCTCTGATAGGAAAAGCTGCATTACCACACAGGAAGAGTTACCTTTCTCATCTTGTCACCTCTGTGGCACTTAGATTTGTTTCCATTGATTCTTGGCTTGCCTAAGTGAACTTCATCAAACTTCTGACTCCACGGCACATGAATACCAGAAATATTCTGGAAGAACATATTCTTTTTTTTTTCAAAATGCTTGTTTTTAAAAAAATTTTATTTTATTGTTTAAAGTATTATAAATAGTAGTACACATGTCTGCCCAAGCCTGGAGTACTGATCTGGCCCCTGCAAGTGACACTGATGCAGACGCCCATGGTGGCCCTCCGGCAGCCTCACAAGCGCAAAGAACATATTCTTAAAGGTATTGCATTTGCCCGGGGCTAAAGGCCAGTCTCCCGGTCTCCATCTCTTTGGTTAGGCATATTTTCTCTGTACTTGTCAAAATAGGTTGTGCATATGACATGGCAAGTATTTGGAATATTAAAGTTTTCCATTTGGTGTTGGAGCAGGCCTCCATTTGGGGATGTATTCCGGGGAGGCAAAGCAGGAAGTATGCCCTTGAGTAATCTCTGTAGTGTTTAACAGAGAAGTTCAGTAGGGATAAGTGGAGTTAAAAAAATACCATGGTGTTAGAGAAAACTGAGAAAAGTGTATAACCCTGGGAAGACATTGGAAATGGTACCAGAGGGGAGATAGTCCTAATCTCAGGAAGGAGAGAAAGAACAATCAAGGTTGAAAAAACATTGAGAAAAAGAGGCCAATCAAAGCTGTGAAAGCTAAATTAAATTTCCTAGAACAAGGTAGTAGAATCCAGTAAGATATAACCCAGAGGCAACTGGAAATGCCAAGGCTCTTTGAAATGTTCAAATGGCTGCCTAATGCATTTTACAGATACATGTGAAATGGGAATAAAGGCTAATGTAATTGTTCAACAGTGTGGTGCTGATGATGAAATCTAAGCACTTAATTTGGAAAAGAGTATAGTGTCAAGATGACTGCATTGATTACTGTGAAGAGTATGACATGTTTGAATGCGCTTGACAGAGAAAAAGAACTGTGCTCTGTAATTTAGAAATCTAAAGGTAGTTATTTCTTCTGGGACCATGCATTTTATTCAATCAGCTTTCTCTATTAATTGTTTTTAGGCAATATTTGGAACATCAACAACAAAAAGGATACACTTGAACCCCCAAAATAAAATTGTTTTTTTTCTACAAATCTAATTGTACATATTATTACTCAATATATCTATGTCATAATTTGATTGAGATGAATTACTAAATTAGAAGAAATTTTATAATGAAAAATGAATCTCTATTCTTAATTTGTCCTCAACATATTTATTATAAGGAAGCACTAAGAAGTGTGGATGTTTCTTTTCACTACTTCTCCACTATGAAGGCCCCATTGGAAGAGGTGCTATGGAATACATTGGGTTGGAGGCACAGAGGAAAGAGAAAATGTCTCTTTACTGCTTTGGGGCTGTTGGTTCTCAAATAAGTAGGAGGGAAACTGCCCGGTTCCAAGTCCAGTGGGTTTCCTGTGGTGTTTTATCTGGTCTCCATAGTGAGAGCTTTGGAAAGTGTTTGTCTTGTCAGATGCTGCCTTCTCTCTGCTTTACTCAACAGGCGGTTCACTGCCTCTCACAGAGGACCACCTCCAGGCAAAACCAAAGTGGCAAAGTTTGTTTGCAGCAATCCTGGCTTTCTTCTTTGGACTCCTTTCTGTGCCGTAAACCTTCCTGCTGCCCCAATGAAAATAATAAAATCACTTTAGCTACATTTGTTTTGCTACTTACCTCGGAGGGATTTTTATTTCAAAACAAATGTTGCTAATATTAAAGGTAAAATTTCAAGTGTCAGAGAGAAATTTTTGGACAGTTAATGTTTTTTTTCCCCAGTTAATGTTTTTGGATAGCTAATTTTAGATTTTGAATAGGTAAACCTTATCCCAATAGAGTCAGTGATATGTCAAAAATCATAAATGTTAATATGCTAGAGGAATCACAATGAAAATATACAAGCTTTCCTCCATTTATTTTCCTCAGTTGTTTTCGTTTTTTTTTTTAGCAAACTGGTCCACATTGCTGTGATCTTTTATTAGGTTCATGTGATCATGTGATGTGTGTTTCTGAGTTTCTGAACACTTTCAGTGTAGTGAGGCTAAAATCAGGTCATCTTAGAATCCCATTATCGTTTTTGCTTGGTATTCATTTGGAAGAAGCTATGCTATCCAAATGATTTTTGTTTGCATCTTCACCAAAAGAAAAGGCTGCATGTTTTCACCTCTCTGCTTATCAATGACAAGCCAAGACATGCCACCTACTCAGATGATTGCCTCTCCAACTTCCAACACAAAGCACAATGAATAAAGTGAATCAATAATAGAATGCTCTTTTTGTTTCTTTTCTTCTTCAGCTTGTTAAAAAAGGCATAGAAGTAGCTGAATACAAATGACAGGGTCAGAATATATCATTGCCTGATGTGGAGGAAGGTTCCTGTAGTTGTGTGGCTCCCCCTGATATCCATCACATGCACAATCTGCTTCAAAGTTCACAATAAATCTTCTGGTTTTCGGATAGAATTATAGTTCCCCAGCTGTTAAAAACCACTGCACACAGTACTAAACCTCAGAAAGGGACGGCTCCCTATAGGTACACAGATTGTCTTTCCCAAGGTCTATAGGGGATAATCAATTAATTTTAGAGGAGGAAGTAACAAGATCATATGACCAGTTTCCTGCCGAGTGAGCCAGCTATATCACATCTTGGTGCTGCTTCTTCTTTAGTAGTACACACGGTCTCATAATTTACCTATTCCACTGGGTCTTTGTTAATATTAACGTAAGTAATGTTTATAAAATGTCTGACAAATAAAAATCACTGAATGAATGGCAACCATTACTACTGAGTTTGAAGAATGACTTCACTCTTTGAGTAGGATGTAGAGTTGGTTTGTAGTGGGTTAGAAAGGCAGAAGGTAGATTTCACCAGCAAATCTGCAAATTATTATTAAGTTAAACAACATGAAAGCAGTCACGAACAACAACAACAATAGTGGATTGCTACCAAAAAATCTTAAGGGACATTTAATGAAAGATAGCAAAAGCACCTCCAAAGGAAATATGAAACATGCTCTATGCTGACTGTGTCCAGCTTAATTTAAGTACCTGCCTTCTTGTGCAGTTGGTAGCAAAGCACATATATAAAGAGCAAAATGCATAGAAACAAGGGATTTGGAAACACATATCATATCTCTGCCAACTTTATACTAGAAACTAAAAACTAAAGATACAGGTAATAATGGTATGCTTATGGTGCTTCAGCTATTTCATGAATAACCCTTTATGTTAAGTACTCTGGATTACCTGGATTTTTTTTTGTCATTAGATAATGATGGGAGAGCATTTTATATATATTGGTAGGTTGATGAATCATTGCAGATATAAAAAGAGCCCCTGGTTGATGAAAGAAGTTTTCTGAGCTGTGTTTCTCTCCAGTTAATCTCTAATGTGGCAGAACAATGGGTATCTCCACCTGGACACCTCCCTGACATGTCTTAAAGAACTCAAAAGCCTCTGAAAATTAGTATGTCCAAAAAATATCTCATTATTTACACCCCCCCATACATCCAGCCCCAATCTGTACCTCTTCCTAGATTCCTTGTCATATCCTTGTCATAGAGGAAGATACTATCATCCACAACTTACTCACTTTTGTAAACCAGAAATTCAGGAGTCGTTCTTTTCCTTCCAAATCCACCCATTATCAAGGACTGTTGATTTTACTCCCTAAATTTCTCCCTGTGTCTATCTCTTTTCATCTTCCTTACAATCAATCTAATCTAGCTCACCCTCATCTTTCTCCTGGACTGTTGCAATAGCCTCTTACCTGGTCTAATTCCACATACCACCCGCCCCCAACATGGCTGTCCCTACCCCTTACCCCCAAAATATTCTCACATCAGAGCATGACCAGATCACATTACCCCACCAACCCAAACCCATGCTGAGAACTGCTGGATGATTTCTGATGGCCTTAGGATGAAGAGAGAAAGGAAAAAGCTCTAACAGGGTCTACAAGGCCCTGTCCCAACTCCTTCATGTCACTCCACTCTTCCTGTCCCTGCTGCAGCCACACACGCCTGTGTGCTCACCGAGCTTCTTCCTGCCACAGGGCAGCTCTGGGGTCTTCCTGCTGCCTGAGCCAATGTTGCCACCCCTTTTGCCTAGTTATCTGCTCAGATTTCAGTTCAGTTGTCATTCCCTTGAAGAAACCTTCTGTGACCTTCAGATCACAATTCTCTATTATGTACTTTTACAGCACCTTGCAACTCTCCTTCATAGCACTTAATACAGCGGTGACTCTATTTTGTCTACATGATTAATATTTTCCTTTCCTATTAATATATTAATATGTAAGTTCCAGGAGAAAAGGGACCATATCTACTTTGATACCAGTTAGCCCCAGCCAAAACACAGGGTCTATGATTTAGAATTACTCAATAATACACCTTTTCAAAGTGTATTTTTTTAAGTAAACCTTTTTAAAAAAAGGTTTCATTATATCTCACTACCAATTTTACACACACACACACACACACACACACACACACACACACACACACACACACACACACACACATTGAGCATCCCCACCCTCCTTGCCCTCAGGGGCAGATTTCTGAAGCACCATTTTCCCTTCTATTCTTAAGTCCAGAGTTTGAAGGCCCAGAGAGGGATCAGCCTTCACCCAAGCTCACACAGCAAGGGAGGGAGATGGATAGAGGAAGGGAACCTAGATGGGCAGGCAGCCCTGCACTGTCTCCTTGGAATCCTAGGGAGTCTGGCCCCCGGTTGCGTGGGAGAACTGCTCCTCACTTCTGGGCCAGTAGATGCCTTCCACCTGCCGCTTCTCCTGCAGTTCCCGCACCAGCAGCACCAGCCCCACGGCCAGAAGCAGGGCAGCCAAGAGGGAGAAGACCACGGTGACAGCAGCGGTGGCCTCCCTATAGAATGAATTATGCATAAACAACATCAGGTAAATTTTCCACATTACTTCATTACTTTCAGCGAAGACACTATACCGTTTTTGCTTAAAAAAAAAAGCCGTAGCAGGCAGTCTGTTGTATAAAATGCTCAGTTTGGCCTGTGGATATAAATATGAAAATGCTTAACTCAACTAAATTGAAGAAAAGACACGGTGTTTTGCAAAAAGTGAGCTTCAAATGCCGTTTACCTTTAGTTTTAAAGAGTTCAGTTTTTCCTCCCTGAGGTGTTCTCTTAACATCTCCCGGTGGATCCGCTCCTGCTCCCGGGCGAATTCGCCCAGAGTGTACTGGCGCACGCTGTTGTGGCGGCTGGACATGCCCAGCGTGCTGCCCCCTTGGCTGGGCACGCTGGTGAAGCCCTGCCTCCTGGTGAAGTAGTACACGGTGACACAGCTGAAATGCACATTCTTCGTCCGCAGCCGCTTCTCCCTTTTGAGGATGGAGGAAGCTGAAAGAGAAAAAAGCAAGACAGTGAACACTTGGGGCAGCAGTTTTAGATGAGGCCAAGAATTAGAAACTGTCACCTGAATCTTTTGGTCAATCCTTTTTGGCGGGGAGACACAAAAAAGGTCATATCTCAGGATTAGCGCCTATTTCTATGTCCTTTCTTTAATCTTTCTCTAGCTGTGGTGGAGTAGACTTTTAAGTTCCATAAATAGCAGTAGTATAAACAAAACTTTAGGAAAGTTGCCAATAGTCTATGAATCTGTCGCAGAATTTAATTTTTCACTTCCCCAAACCTCTGAAGTTTCTGTTTTATGGTTTTCACATGAGTTGCATCAGACTTTAATCAGAAAAGACATACTACAAACCTTCACACTTTGGGTCTCATTTTGATATAGAGGGCATTTCTGCTGTTCTAAGTCCCTTGGCATAAAAATATGTCTACTTAAAAATTTCAGAAAATTCTAAAAAGCAATAAAAATCCACAAAAAAGGCTCACTGGCAGTATTTAGGTATTTTTATAATAAAAATTTAACAAAGCTTTTATTTGATATGACTCTCACTAAATAGCATTACGGACAGGGGGATTTTAATCTAAGTGTATGCTGAGACCATTGAAAATGCCATGAGACGTTTTATTATTAGTTACTAGAGGCCCGGTTCATGAAATTTGTGCATTGGGGGGTGGAGGAGGGGTGGGGGGGGTAAGGTCCCTCAGCCAGGTCTGTGACCTCTCGCAGTCCAGGAGCCCTCTGGGGATGTCCCTCAGTAGGACAAACAGTGCTGCAGTGGAGGTGGGAAAGGCTGCTGCCACCACTGCTGCACTCGCCAGCCATGAGCCCAGCTTCTGGCTGAGCGGTGCCCCCCCTGTAGGAGCACACTGACCAGGAGGGGGCAGCTCCTGCGTTGAGCATCTGCCCCCTGGTGGTCAGTGTGCATCATAGCGACCCGTCGTTCCACAGTTTGGTTGATTTGCATATTAGCCTTTTATTATATAGGATAGGGACTCAAGATGCACAGAGCATCATGGAGGGTTGAGACACATACTGTAGTCGACAGAAAGAAAGTCACATTCTAATCAGGACCTTTTAGAGTTGAAAGACATGCTAGACATCATCTAGCCCATTCTTTTTATTTTATAGTGAAGTGACCCAGGCTTGCAGAATTTGAGTGGCTTCTTTAAGTGTAGACAGTTAGTCGCAAAACGAATCTTAAACCCAAAGCACCGGGTCTGTTGCTATATTATATGACACTTCTCCATTGGGTTAGGAAAGGTATAATGAATTGAAGAGACAGACATAGAATAATGCTGCTATGGATTAAACTGTGCCTCCTCACGCCCAAAATATACTGAAGTTCTCTCTCTCAATACCCTGGATGTAACCTTATTAAGGAAAAGTGTCATCATAGAGGTGATCACGTTACCGTAAGGTCTTTAGGGCGGGTCTTAATCCAATATGACTGTGTCCACATAAAAAAGGCAACAATTGGGCACAGACATGCACAGAGGGGTGATGTAAAGACACAGGGAGAAGCCCACGTGAAGATGGAGAAAGATGGGGATTTTGCTGCCAAAGCCAAGGAATGCTTGGGGCCACCAGAAACCGGAAAAGGCCAAGAAAGGCCGTTCCCCTGCAGCTTTCAGAGGAGCATGGCCCTGCCAGCACCTTGACTTTGATCTTCTAGTCTCCAGAACTGTGAGACAGGAAACTTCTGTTCTAAGCCACTGAGTTGGTGGCATTTTTTTTTTACAGCAGCTTTAGGAAACTAACACACATGCTAAAGTAGAACAACAGACAGGAAGAAACAATGCACTGAGAATAAATCCTTGAATAGCAAAAATTAATAAAAACTAACATTTGCGAAGTGCTTCCTAAGTTCTGTATTATGCAAAGAACTTTACATGAATTATTTTATCTTGACAACTCCTTGGGTTGATATTGCCCTTGTCTCCATCTCCATTTTGAGGAAACCAAGTCATCAAAAGTTACATAACATGGCCAAGGTCATACAACCAGTGGTGAAGCTGGGATTCATTATTCCTGAGCCCAGGGTTTTAAGCATCATGTCACAGCCAGAGCTGAAGTCACCCAGGAAGTTGCACAAGGCTGAGAGATGTCAACTACTACTGTCCTCCAAGATGATTTTAATTTGGAAGGCTGCATAAGCAATGTAAAAGAAAGACTACAGTATCACTTTGGATTTATATAGAATCTTCTTCCATGTGGGTTCAAGTTTTTTTGTGTGTGTCTTATTCCCCACCTCACTCAATAACATATTTAAGCCAAATATAAAGAGGCTGCTATGATTAATCTCATTTCATAGATTTATGTATTCAATAAGTATTAACCAAGGACCTAGTATGTACGAGGAAATGTTCTAGATGATGGGATACATTGGTGAATAAACCAGATGGTGATCCCTGACCGTGAAGCTTTCATTTTCAGTGATGAGCTCAGACAGAATGAACAGATTCAGAAGAATATAGAGTATGAGAAATAGGACATGTGGGCAAGAATTTAGCTTCCCCAACCTCCCCTCTTCCCTACTGTTATACTTCTCCAAAGGAGATTGCCAGAAAGCAAATGCTTTCAAAGGCGTACATAATTTCCCCATTTATTTATGTGTATGTTCACGGCAACATATACTCCTGGCTGCAGAGACAATTTTCAGCTTTGATTTAAAAGCTCTGATCTGCTTCATAACCGTATGTTTAAATCACCTCAAAAAAGAGAAGCATTTGTAAAAATGTAAAAGATCACCGTAGAAAGCAAAATTCAACAATCTGCCTGGTGATCTGACAACCTCATCTGTCACCCCTTACAGCAGGCTAGAGCTTCTGATTTGGGGGTGATAATCTTCAACCTTTTTCACCCTTGATATCATAAAAATGATGCCCTTAAGTCATTATCATTTAAGGCCATACATTTATAGGTAAGAAAAAATATTAATGTAGTAATTTAAGATAATTATTATAAGCACCTCTGACAACTTTATTACTTGTTTCTTCTTAGACAATTCTGGTACTCTAGACCAATTTCCTTCTTAAAAATTTATTTAGATCGTAAATCTGTATTTTTAGATTATAAGAAGAACTCTTCAATCTTCTGCATGAATATATTGTACCACCATTTCCTAAAAAAACAGATAATCCTTTCCAGAAAGTCAGTCCAGAAAAGACTTTCTAACAGAGAGCAGGGGCCCCTCACCTGGGCTCTTGGCATCACTAGCATTGTCAAATTGTGCTAGGATTCGTGATGCTTCTGTCCCACAAGCCTTCACAAGTCAAACCTGTGCATATGGTTGTTTTAGCATTTGCATATTATAAATAGCACTGAGAAAAGAATGATTGGAACGCCTACAAAGTATATTTAAAAGGAAGGCTTTGAAATACTATAAGATCAGCTGTATGAGGGATGTTTTAAGTGTGGGTTTCCTGAACTTAGGAGTCACCCGCGTCTCTTCTGATTGCATCGGAGCACTAGCATGGGCTTTTATGGGCTATCTCCTGCCTCCAGGCCCCAATTTGACTAACATCACAAAATGAAGTCATAAAAAAAGAGTCTGTTTTTCAAGCCTGGGAAAAACAGACAAATTCACTCAACACATCTGCCTTAGGGAATCCAAAACCTCCCTGATATACCTACCTAGTAAGCTGTGCCCTTTCAGAGTGCCTGAACTCAGCTTTGTGTCTCTACAGAGTTTCGTGTTCTGTTTACTACTGTGAGGTCAAGAGCAAGAAAAAAGCAGGAGAAGCGGTCTTTCATTACTGTTTTAAAAAGAATTAGTCTGTTTTCATGCACAATACTAATTTTTTGGTGTCTTTCAGCTCCTTTTCTTTTATCCCATTTACAATTAACTCCCTCCCAATCCCCCCTCCCCCCCACCTCCCAAAGCAGAAGTGTCTGAATGCAACAATACTGCACATGATGCCTAGGACACAGCTCTTGGGAACACGACTATGGTAACCACATCATAATGTGCATATTGGTGTTACTATAAAATGATCACATATTATGGAGATAATGTTGATTTCTATAAATTAAAGAAATAAACAGCTCAGGGAGAATGATATTAGCTATCAGCAGGTTATCCTTCCTAAAAAATGCTTTAGAAATGAATGGTAAATAAGAATGAGAAAGTCACTCATTCACAATGCCAGGGTAAGAATTTAATTAGATAAAGTAAAATAAACTGTATCACAAAATATATAATTAGTTCATGGGCAGAGTGGATTAAAAATGGAAGTCAAAACTAAATTTGGGGCAGTGTGTTTCCAGGGTGAGATAGTATTCCGATAAGACCAATATTCTGGATATTCTGATCCCACAGAGGAGATGAATATATCAGGTATCAGAGTTGAATCACATCAATCTCTAATAAAATTCAACTGACTTTGCTTAATTTCCACACTCATAAACCAACCTGTTCATATAAACTTGGATACACCTTCAAGACTAATGAGTTGACACATCAATTTTGTTTCTTACTGCAAGCGACTTGTTTCAAATTTATACTTTAGCCATTAGTGAATGTGATTAGCGCATACCACGCCATCTGAAATTGCCTTCTCCGCATGCACCATCATGTGGAGACAGAGGGGAACTGGATAGACAGGGACAGGAACTATGATGGAGGGTAGGAAATAGAACCGGGAAACCCAGCTGGGCAGGGAAGGAAGGGCACACACAGCAGACAAACTTTAAAATGTATGGATGTTGCTAAGACAGGCAGCTTACAAATAACCAATCACAAGACAGTGAGGTGTATAAACCAATCCCAAGGATGTGGCTAAGGCAGAATTCTTTGACAGGACCAATCAAGAACTAGCAAGATATGCATCTGCCCCTAGATTAAAAAGCGCACATGCTTCCTCTCTCCTCTCTGCTCTCCCTGCCGTGCTAGATTCTTGGGTTGATGGCAGGGTTGATGGCTCCCCTGCACCCATGTGGTTTATGGCCATGTGGGACTCTACACATGGACTAATCAGACTTTAACACCTGA